GTACATAGGGTCTCTATGAGTTGGAACTGACTCGATGATGCCTAACAATAACAACAACAATAGCTATAAAGTACAGAGTAGAATTGTTTTATATATGCTCCAAGGCTGTACATCCTTATGGAAGCAGACTGCCTTGTCTTTCTCCTGCCAAATGGTGCTGGGTTCAAATGGCTGACATTTTGTTTTGCCTTAACCGCTGTGCCACTAGGGCTCCCTATTTATATTAATCCCCTATTTATGCAGTTACTATTCTTTTTGTGCTGTATTTGCTATGTCAGATACTGTGCTTGGCAATTTAATCACTAGACAAACAAACTTTGAAGTAGGTAATATAATCATAATCACCATTTTGTAAATGAGAAAACTGAGGTCTTGAGAGGTGAAGTAAATTGCCAGACCTCACATAGTTAAGAAATAACAGAGATGTGCTATGAACCATGTATGGCTGGACCTTGAATCTATCAACAGGATTTCTCCTCAAATCTCTAAGGGCCTACGTTATATTTGTGATATTCTAAACTTTTGATTAAAGGTATTAATGGAAATTAAAATGATGGGACAAATGCTATGATATTTTTTATCTCTTGTCAACCCTAGTTTGAGGCTTTCATTTTTCAAAGAGCAATTTTCTTTCTTACTGCCTCCCACGGAGATGAAATTCAGTTTAGCCTCGATATCTGTCCCTCCTAAATGAAAAGATACCCCACTTCTTCTACCAAGACAACATTTATACTTCAATGCCTAGGTCATTTCCAACTCATTTCATTCCATCTCGAATTTCATTTTTATTTTTTTTATACTGTACTTGATTTTTGTTGTTGACAAAGAAGGAAAGTTTGCTATAATTAGAGCTATTTGGATTTAGTTGGATATCTTGGTGGGCCATTTGTGTTGAAAAGATAGCCCTCAAGCTCTAGCTTGTTGTTTGGTGCTGTTGAGTTGATTCTGACTCAGAGACCCTATTTATGTACAACAGAATGAAACACTGCCTGGTCCCGTGCCATCCCCACAATCCCTGCTACACTTTGCACTGTAGCTACTATGTCAATCCATAAGCTCTAGCTTAGATAGGCTACGTTTACATTCAAAAGAAGAAATCAGAATTTCCTTCAGACAAAAGAGAAAAGTCCAAGTGGCTGAGAAAGAGGAGTGAAGCTTCACGATGGTAGATTACAGACATATATGAGGTGTGACAGCAGAAATGCCCTGTGATTGTAGAAATGGCACTAGAATTTGAGTGCCTAACATGGAATTTTAAATAAGTCCATTGTGCTATATTCTCCAATGTAATCTTCACACCCACTGTCCCTCGCTCTAAGACGATGGCACTTTGAGGTGGTGTCTGCCAAGCTGATGGCACTTTGGGGTGATGTCAAGCAGGTAGGCTTTGAAAAGGACTGCACACACAAGTGGAAAAATGTAGAGAGTAGAGAAGTCATCCCTGTGGCTTGCAGCCAAATAAAAGACCAGCATATGGGTTGAATATTTATATCAGGTAGATACACTCCTGGGAGAGATCAATCATGGGAGAACAGAAGGGCAGTGTATGCACAGGGAGACTGCTTGGGAGGCAGCAGTGTATGGGAAGGAAGGACACAGGAAGAGGTAACTATGGGGAGGAAGTGGGAAGAGAGCTGTTACATTGTGGGAAATTGCAGCCAATGTCATGAGACAAAGTGTGTATGAACTGCTGTATGGAAAATGAATTTGCTCTGTAAACTTTGACCCAAATCACAATAAAAATTTGGAAAAAAAAAAAAAAAAAAACAATCAAGAGTACTGGTTTGATATGGATACACAAATTAGAGATTGGCCATTTAAAATGGGGGGAGATAAAGGCTTGAAGTGGCTGGCCTACACACTGTCATAGGTGTGCTTATTCTTAAACTGATTGTGAAGGGGATATTAATGTTTGAAGTATAAAAGGGACAATAGCTAGAAAAGCGAGAGGGTGGCCTGCAGTGCAGTGAATTACTTGGTATGGCTTTTCTAGCCATAGTCTTTGTAACTCCCAGTGGATTACTGGGTAGGATCATGCAAATGAGGTGTATAGAACTCTGATGTTGGGATTGGTTAGTGTTGTTCCTCTGATAGGCTTAAAATGAACCTTCCTAGAGGCAGAGGGGGGATCTCACTGCCATCAAGTGAGAAGAGCTGGAGGTGAAGTAGATTGTGTCCTTGGAGCCAAGATCACTGCACTGGACGTCCTTGGCAGAGATGTATGGCAGAGAGAGGTCCCCTGGAAGGGAGAGACATCCCAGCAGAGAGAGATGCCCCAGCAGAGAGAGACGGTCACAGTGGCACCAAGAGACAGTCACAGTGAAACCAAGAGTCACGAGGCAGAGTGGTAGGCTTACCTGGCCCACAGAACAAGAAACCTGAGTGCCCTTGGGCAGAAGGCTTGCTGATGAAGTGGGGTGTGCTTGGGTGTCCTTTTAGGCAGAGCTAAAAGAGTTTTTAACACTTGTGTGAGCAGGGCAGAGGCTAGGCTCAGAAGCCAAGGGCCAGAAACACATGTCTGAGGGCATATCAGAGAGAGAATGTCTCATTGAAGAATTGCATCCTGAGTGCATTTCTGAACCTGAATTGTAGCCTGTTACTTCCCTAATAAACTCCAGCATCGTGAGTGTTGTCTGTGAGTTCTGTGTGCCCATTGTAATGAATTATTGAACCCAGTAGAGAAGTAGTGAGTGCTAAGGGAGGGACAGTTGGTGTCAGAATTGGTAAAAGGCTGGATGGTAGCAGCATGTATAACCTCTTAGGACTAAACCTTGGGCTGCTGATGGTGATTCTGTCTTCCTTTTGTGAAGTTAGAGGAGGTCAGACGATGCCGTCTCCATGCCCTTTTTTCAAGACCCAAGCCATGTAATTAACCCTTCTTGCTTTTTCTTCTCACATATGTGCACCTAGGAAACTGGCTTACTGGAATTTATGAGTAACAAAGAAAAGTTGGGGTGTGGGATATGATAACCTGGTTCTTCTTTTTCCACCTAGATATACTTGTTGGATTTGGGCAGTTAGGGATATTTATGATGATGACCATGCATGTGAGATGGCAATTCTTAAGGTGGTCCTAGTATGGCCTGCACATCACAGAGTGGAAGATGTTCTAGGATGGTACAAGGCATATAAGGAAGAAAGAGCTGAGCCACCATGGATGAATCTAGGTGTATAATATGGGAAGTCTAGGTATATAATGGAGAAGACTAGAAAAAGTGATTGTGGCCAGGGCTGGTCATACATTACATGACTGTGAATGGAGAACTACAACCCCAGCTGGTGGGGAAGGAATACCTTAGCTTTTGGGAGGCCAGAGTTCAATGAAGGGACCAGTAATTTCCCTGGATGCTTGTCTGCAGGACATTTGGACAATTAACCCAGGCTGCCACTGTCATCCTCAATTTAACAAAGATCTTAATCAAGGAAATCTCAGAAACCTCCCAGGAGCTGCTTACCAAGTAGCCTCTACTTGAGATAATTAAACAGGATTAACTTTCTGAACATTAATATGATTCCTTTTAACCTCTTAATATTAGACTGTCACAGGGAGCTCTTGAGGTGCAGTAGTTTAAGCATTGGGCTGCTAACCAAAAGGTTAGCAGTTTGATCCTGCCAGCTGCTCTGCGGGAGAAAGATGGGCAGTCTGCTTTTGTAAAATTTACAGTCTTGAGGCAGTTCTACTCTGTCCTATATGATCACCATGAGTCAGAATTGACTTGATGGTCATGTGTTTGTTTTTTAATCTATTCTTTTATATGAAAAACTATAACTACTTTATATTAAACTATAAAAGCAGACTATAGCAATTGTTCTAAATTTAACTGATAGTGCATCTGCCATGTTCCACCTGATCTTAACTAGCAAAAGCTTAATTAGACCCTGATCCCAATTTAGCAAAATGCTGCTGTCAAGGTTTCTGCTACTACTTAGGCCTATATTGGCCTGCCACACACAAACTAGTCTGAACTTTCTATAGTGAATGGTGATGAAAAAGTGCATTGTCCTGGACTTTCTGCAGGTCAGTCGAGGTGCAGCATGTGTGACCACCAACACCTCTTGGTGTACTTGGATTAATGACATTTTTAACTGGCTTGGGTTCATATAGGGGACCTGCTGTGGTCTTCCTTCCAGTTGGGCCTGATTACCCCACTGGGAATCATAGTCATAGTCGCATACACATCCATTGTTGCCTAAGACAAACAGAACAGATTTGGTCCAAGTCTCTATCAGTATAACTAATTGGGGTAGCTGATGGGATGGCCAGTATTTTTAAAAAGAATTCTTAGTTGAATGTGTGAAAGGTCAGGAGATGGAGTTGCAGAGGAGTAGCTCTACCATGTGTGCTGGTGACTGCACAGCTCCACATAAGTCCTCCAGTCAAGGCTTGACTGCAATTGACCTAAGTCTTGGCAGAACACCTTGTAATCTTCCCAGAATTTGATAGAACAAGACACTTATGAGCAGATTCTACAAGTTCATTTCCCATTCACTTCCCTGTCTTCTTAGGAAGCTGTCATGAGACAGTGACTGACTGTCTCCCTGGTTCTGATATCACCTCCCCCAGACCCCATCATTAGGGTACAGCTGTAGGCTATACAACTGCTTAGCTAAAGCACAAACTGGGCTCTTCAGCAACAGGATGTTCACTACCTGTGTTGCAGTCATCTAGTCCCTTTTATTTTGGTGTCATCCATGAGACAGAAACATGGAGATCTGGCACCTTTGGCATTCTTGTTTTCACTGTCCATGTAAGTTAATAAACTGTCTGAATCTAACAAGGTCTCATTGTTTCTTTATTGGCTGATTGTGTTAGCCTTGCCTTCAGGGGCAGCCTGTGAATGCACAGAAGGGAACAACCACCTTTTCTCTTTTATGGTTTCCGGTAGCTTTTTAGCCTTCTCTGCTACTGTAGGTCTGGGCCATTTTGTATTTGTGTCCCTTTTTACAAATAAAACACCAATGTAAAAAAATATATTTTTCATTTGGTCTCAAAATCTTACCTCTTCATTTGCATCTCTTTCTCTCGTGACTTCAAAATGTGTGCAAATGTACCCATGAAGTGCAAGTAGCTCCTGGGAGTGATATAATAATGCCTTCTAGTTTCTTCAAAGAATTTTATGCTTAAATCTGCTATACTTTTGTGGATTTGGACACATGTTGGGGCAAGTTTTTCTTTTAAATTCTGAAAAACAATATATATATATATTTTAAGAATTAAGAGAAAGCAATCTGAATAAATATATGTTCAAAAAAAGAAGAAAATTGGACATTGTGAGTAATTTGAAATAGATTATCATTTCTGAGATATGGAGATATACAGAAAGGTTTTGGATGAAGGGGACCAAGAATATATGAGTTTTGATGGTTTGGATGGTGGTGGGATGGAAGAGGCGAAGCTGTGGCTAATTATTAATGACATACCACACTCATTCTTCCAGATTTTACCCTTATTTCTGTTGTATCCATCCACAGATTTAGAACACCAGAGTCAATGGCCCAAGGTTACCTTTATCTTCCATCTTCCTTTGAAAGCAGTTCGTTAATAGAAAGATACTCAAGGAAATTTCCTTGAGTAAAATAAATATATAAAAAGTAAAACTGAAGTAGAAAATATAAGGACTCAAAGGACATAAGAAAAAGCAAAACCAAACTCACTTCTATTGAGTTGACTCCAACTCATAGTGGCCCCTTTAGGTTTCTGAGCCGATAAATCTTTATGGCCTTAGACACAGGCCTCAGCCCCTAAAGGTGGGAAGCAGGGGAAAGAGAAGCCAGGGGACCACAGACAGAGGCAGCAGGGATCTCAGGTAAGGGTAGGGATACAGGCCCCAACCCCAAGAGGCAGGAAGCAGAGAGATTTGGAACAGCTAAGGGAGATAAACTTGTCTGTCAGTTTATCTTACTATGGTGGTTAGTGTGTTGCTGTGAGGCTTGAGGCTGCACCACTGGTGTTTCGAATGCCAGTGGGGTTGCACATGGTGCACAGGTTTCAATGCAGCTTACAGACTGAGACAGAGGAGGAAGAAGGAAGAGGCCATCCACTTCTCAAAGAATTGGCCAGGGAAAACCCTATGAATAGCAGAGAAACACTCTCTGATATGTTACTGTGCAACTTTATGAATAGCACGGAAACGCTGTCCAATACAGTGCAGGAGGATGAGCCCTTCAGGTCAGAAGGCTCTCAAAATGTGATGGGGAAAGAGCTGTGTCATCAGTGTAGAAAAAACTTTACTGATATGGATAAAATAAAGCTTTTGAGACCTCCATTTGCTGACGTGGCATGACTCAAATTGAGAAGAAACAGCTGTGAATATTTATTAATAATTGGAATGTGGAAAGTATGAAGTATGAATCTAGGAAAATTGGAAGTTGTAAAAAATGAAATGGAATGCAAAAAGATTGACATCCTAGGCATTAGTAAGCTGAAATGGACTGGTTTTGGCCATTTAGAATCAGACAACCATATCATCTACTATGCCAGGAATGACAATTTGAAGAGGAATGGCATGACATTCATAATCACAAATGATGTTTCAAGATCTGTCCTGAAGTACAATTCTGTCAGTGATAGGATAATATCCATATGCCTACAAGGAAGACCATTTAATACTACTGTTATTCAAATTTATGCATCAACTACCAAAGCCAAAGATGAGGAAATTGAAGATTTTTACCAACTTCTGCAGTCTGAAATTGACCGAACATGCAATCAAGATGTGTTAATTATCACCGGTGACTGGAATGCAAAAGTTGGAAACAAAGAAGAATCTCTAGTAGTTGGAAAATTTGGCCTTAGTGACAGAAGGTTGGGCAATCCTACTTCCGTAGTGATAACTGCCTTGGAAACCCAAGGAGGGGTCTCTAGGAGTCGGGGCTGACTCGATGGCAAACAACAACAACAACAACAGTGACAGAAATAACACTGGAGATCACATGATAGAATTTTGCAAAGCCAATGACTTATTCATTGCAAATACCTTTTTTCATCAACACAAATGGTGGCTATATATGTGGGCTTCACCAGATGGAATACACAGGAATCAGATTGACTACATCTGTGTCAAGATGTGATGGAAAAGCTCAATATCTTGAGTCAAAACAAGGCCAGGAGCTGACTGTGGAACAGACAATCAATTGGTCATATGCAAATTTGACTTGAAGTTGAAGACAAAACAAGTCCACAGGAGCCAAAATATGACCTTGAATATATCCTTCCTGAATTTAGAGATCATTTAGAGAACAGATTTGATGCATTGAACATCAATGACCAAAAACCAGAAGAAATGTGGTGTGACATCAAGAACATCATACATGAAGAAAGAAAGAGGTCATTAAAAAGATGAGAAAAACAGAAAAGAGCAAAATGGATGAGCGAAGAGACTCTGAAACTTACCCTTGAGCAGAGAGTAGCTAAAGCAAATGGAAGAAATGACAAGATAAAAGAGCTGAACAGAAGATTTCAAAGAGCAGCTTGAGCAGACAAAGCCAATTACTATAATGAAATGTGCAAAGACCTGGAGTTAGAAAACCAAAAGGGAAGAACATGCTCAGCACTTCTCAAGCTGAAATAACTGAGGAAAAAATTTAAGCCTCGAGTTGCAATATTGAAAGATTGGGCAAAATATTGAATGATGCAGGAAGCATCAAAAGAAGATGGAAGGAATACACAGAGCCACTGTACCAAAAAGAACTGGTCAATCTTCATCCATTTCAGGAGGTGGCATATGATCAAGAACCAATGGTACTGAAGGAAGAAGTCGAAGCTGCACTGAAGGAATTGGTGAAGAATGAGGCACCAGGAATTGACAGAATACCCATTGAGATGTTTCAAAAAAACAGATGCCCCACTGGAGGTACTCACTCGGTTGTGCCAAGAGATTTGGAATATAGCTACCTGGCTAACTGACTGGAAGAGATCCATATTTGTACCCATTCCAAAGAAAGGTGATTTCACAGAATGTGGAAATTATCAAACAATATCATTAATATCACATGCAAGTAAAATCTTACTGAAGATAATTCAAAAACGGTTGTAGTAGTATATTGACAGAGAACTTCCAGAGGTACAAGCTGGATTCAGAAGAGGACTTGGAACAAGGGATATCATTGCTGATGTCAGATAGATCTTGGCTCAAAGCAAAGAATACCAGAAAGATGTTTACTTGTGTTTTATTAACTATTCAAAATCATTTGATTATGTGGATCATAACAAATTATGTATAACATAGAGAAGAATGGGAATTCCAGAATACTTAATTGTACTCATGAGGAAACTGTACATAGACCAGGAGGCTGTCACTTGAATAGAACAAGGGGACACTGCATGGTTTAAAATCAGGAAGGGAGTGTGTCAGGGTTGTGTCCTTTCACCATACCTATCTAATCTATATGCTGAGCAAATAATCTGAGAAGCTGGACTGTATGAAGAAGAACGTGGCATCAAGATTGGAGGAAGAATCATTAACAACCTGTGATATGCTGATGACACAATTTTGCTTGTTGAAAGTGAGGATGATTTGAAGCCCTTACTGATGAAGATTAAAGACTACAGTCTGCAGTATGGATTACATCTCAATATAAAGAAAACAAAAATCCTCACAACTGGACCTATAAGCAGCATCACAATAAATGGAGAAAAGATTGAAGTTATCAAAGACTTCACATTGCTTGGTTCTACAATTGACAGTAATGGAAGCAGCAGTCAGGACATAGATGATGGGTAAGTTGGCTGCAAAGGATCTCTTTCAAGTGCTGAGGAGCAAGGATATCTCCTTGAGGACTAAGGTGCGCCTGACACAAGCCATGATATTTCCAATCGCCTCATATGCATGTGAGAGCTGGACAATGAATAAGGAAGACCGAAGAAGAGTTGATGCTTTTGAGTTGTGGTGCTGGTGAAGAATGCTGAAAGTACCAGGGACTGCTAAAAGAACTAAGAACTCTGTCCTGTAGGAAGTGCAGCTGGAATGCTCCTTATAAGCGAGAATGGCCAGACTTCATCTCACCTACTTTGGTCATGTTATCAGAAGGGACCATTCCCTGAGAAGGATGCCATGCTTGGTAAGGTGGAGGGGCGATGAAAGAGGGGAAGACCCTCAAAGAGATGGATTGATACGGTGGCCGAGGCTATGGGCTAAAGTAAAGCAAGTATCGTGGACCTGGTACAGGACCAGGCGATGTTTCACTCTGCTGTGCATGGGGCAGCTATGAGTCAGAGATGACTCGATGGCACCTAACAACACAACAACAACAACAACAACAACAAATCTTTATGGAAGTAGATTGCCAAGTCTTCCTTCTGTGGAGGGGCTGGTGGGTTTGAACTGCTAACCTTCTGGTTAGCAGCCAGATGCCTTAGGCAGTATGCCACCAGAGCTTCTTAAAGGACATATAGGTGGGCAAAACTAGAGTAGAAAGAGTATTCCCTTTGCTTAGCTTGGGAGTTTTCTGATTTAGATATAACATAGTCCTAGTTACTCATCTCCAATCCAAGCCTAGCCTAATAACTGTTTTACTTTCAACCTAGCTGAATTTTCTTCCTGGATTCACACTGCTTCTACCCTTTTTGCCCTTTGCTTTCCTTGAACTCTGGGACAAGTGAAGATGTAAATCCCTTACTAGGTCTCACACTGAATTTCAGGCCTCTATGAATTTAAACTTCTTTTGTCAACACACCTGTTACCCTTTTTCTGTCAGCTGGGTCCTATGGGATCTTCAGTTGAATCACTTTAGAATAGATTCTTTCTTACTGTGGCTCATAAATTCTGAGTGTATTTTGTGTTGTGACTTGTGCTCTCTCTCTCTTTTTTTTTTTTTTTTTTTTGGTAGTTTTGCTGTTGCAGCCAAGCCAGAGTAATTTACAAAGAATACACGAAGGTTCCAGCATACTCACCATAGGAATTGGTATAGGAAATGGAGGTTGTTTTTCCTTCATGGAAATCTGCTGTTTAACATGAAACCAGAATAGTGAAGAGCAGGCAGTGAGGAATCTGGGCGTCTTTGAAATGGGGCAGGTCCGGGGATTAAAGAGATGGGAAGCCATAGAATTGATAAGTAGTCAAGACAAATGCTTGGCCTAGTTCATAAATTGGCCTGTTGTTGCTAGTTACCATTGAGTCCATTCTGACTCCTGGTAACCCCATGTGCACAGAGTAGAACTCCCCTTAGGGTTTTCTAGGCTGTGACCTTTTGGAAGCAGATCACCGGGCCTGTCTTCTGAAGCACCTGTCAGAGGGTTTGAACTACCAACATTTTGGCTAGTAGTTGAATGCTTAACCATTTGCTTCACCCAGGGACTCCTCAATGTAGTCAAGTGCTGCCTATTTTTGCTCATCTAAGAGTTCACTGTTGTTCAGAGACATAACACTGTTGTTGTTGTTGTTAAGTGCCGTCGAGTCGTTTCCGACTCATAGCGACCCCATGCACAGCAGAAACATCTAACACTGTTAGATGATGTTAATAAATTGACACCTTCACTTGCGTGAGATTTTTTAAAAGACATTAACATTTACCTTTCTGTTCTCCAAATTCACCTTTTCTGTTAAGAAAGAATTGGCTACAGTAAGAAGAGCCTCTTCTGGCCACTTCTCATACCAATCAATTGTACAGGAACTGATCATAGAAGGATATGCTCTACAACTTTGGCGAAAGTTAGGTTCTAAAGGATTCATGGTCATAAAAATATGAAGATTTTTATGAATTATCTGAAAATTAATAAAAATATTAATTGTTAAAATATAAACCACTGCTTTGAAAAATTATTATATTGAAAATTCCATTTGAAACTTGTTTCAATTCTTTCCTTAATTAGTCCAGAGACTGATCAACCGTGTATTGAGTGCCTGACATAAATGAAGCTGTTCTAAGGAAACAACCAGTCCCACAGAGTCCTTCTGAGGAAAGCATGTTCTACTCTATGTGACCCCACTTTCTTGGCTTCAGTTGGGCGAACTGGTTAGGGGATGCACTAGACCCAGATCATCCCTTGTATAAACCAACTCTTATGAGGGGGCATGGTGCTTGAGCTCCTTTCAGTAGAGGATCTTATATCAGATGGTGATAGGTCTGACTATTTAGCTCTTTTCTGGAGTAAGACTCACAGAACTCAAAGTGAGAAAATAGTAAGACAAATTAGAGCTGGAAAACAGAGAGAAGCAGAGATGGACAATATGGGTAGAGCATCAAAGGAGTTATTAATAAAATACAGCTGAAGAATTACAGCTAAGTTATATTAGATCCTAAACAATTTTGTAAGCCCTAAGTTATGAGTCAGGATCAACTCTATGGCAGTGGGTTTAAGCTAAGTGCTAGTTTCTACGAAGTTTACTTGCGTCCTGTTTTCCTCATAAGTCTTGTTTGTGCTGATGCTGTTCCTGGGTTCTTGGCAAGACTGGCTATGGGACACAGGTTACTTCCATCTTATTTCTATATGTCTCTTTATAATAAACTTATGTTATTGAAAGCAGCCTCAGTGAGTCAGTGTTCCTTTTAATTCAAAGAGTCTAATTTGTACAAAGTGATAATATCTTTGAGTATCAAGCAACCTGTTTTGCCAAATAAATATGATAAAGCTGAAAGGAGACTAAAGTAAGATTTTACCTTTAAAAATTTTATAAAATCAACAGTGTTTATTTCAGAATACATGCAATAAGAAGCGTTTAAAGTAAAAATGAAAGGACCTCTCTTGCTTTATCCATCACCAAATTCCTATCACAGAATATCTTATGTTCACAATTTAAAGTGTGTTTTTACTATTTACTGTTATTGTAAGACACTTCAAATCATTTTTGGATGTGTGGAATATATTATACATAAATAAAACCCACTGTCATTGAATCAATTCCAACTCATAGTGACCCCCATTGGGTTTCTGAGGGTGTAAATCTTTATGGAAGTAAATTGCCCTATCTTCCTTTGGTAGAGTGGCTGGTGGGTTTGAACCACCAACCATCTGGTTAGCAGTCAAATGCCTTAGGCACTGCACCTCCAGAGCTCCTTATAGATAAATAAGGAAATAAATAATCCAGATTGGGATTCTTGATTTAGTTTTTATTTCTGGAATGTACTATGTTTTACGCATCAATAAAAATTTGTTCTTCCTTACCATTTATAATACTTGGGATAAACCAACTGTGTAAAAAGGCACTCAAAGAGAAACAAACAAACAAACAAAACCAAACTCACTGCCATCAAGTCAATTCTGACTCATAGCGACCCCCACTGGGTTTCTAAGGCTGTAAATCTTTACAGAAGCAGACCACCTCATCTTATTTCCACAGAATGGCTGGTGGGTTTCAAACCACGGAACTTTTGGTTAGCAGCCAAATGCCTTAACCACTATACCATTAGAGCTCCCTTACAAGGCACTAAACCCAAACAAACAAACAAACAAACAAACTCACTGCCGTTGAGTCGGATCCAACTCATAACACCCCCTCCTTGGGTTTCAGAGGCAGTATCACTACGGAAGTAGATTGCCCAATCTTCCTTTTGAACCACCAGCCTTCTGGTTAGCAATCAAATGCCTTAGGCACTACGCCACCAGAGCACCTTTACAAGGCACTAGAGCACCATAAACTAGCAGGATAATTAAACCTTCTTTCTAATATGGCGTTTTAAAATATAACACAACCCAAGTCATTCACATCACATTATTCTCTCTCAATTGGGGATTCCATGCCTGGAAGTTTTTATATCTTCTTCTTATGCCAGATTATTAAGTATCTGTTGAAGAATGGAGGGTGGTATAGTTCAATTCTCAAAAACCCTACAATAGGCAAAAATTGGCAACAAAATAAGTTGACCAGTGATACTCTTCCAGTGAACATTTTGGTTGGAGTAATCAAGTCTATCTGTTTACTAAGGCACTATTAAACCATCATGCCCCAAAGACACAGAAGGGCTAGTTTACTGGTGTACTCTATAACTCTCATCAAATCAGTTCTTTCACAGTCACTCAACTGCTGGGTTTATTTGGAATATTTCCTGCTCTATTGTTCTGTATTATCATATCCTGATCAATTCTAGGTGTATGCAAAGAGATGAAAGAACTCTTGTTTCTTGCTTTTCTTGGCTGCAATGAAAACCTCATTAACTAAGAAGAAATCTCAATGTAAGAAATAATCTTGGGATTTTATTGCTTATTTCATTACCTGCAGATTCCAGATTTTTTTTTTTTTTTAAACCATTGATAGTTTGTCTGGGTCAGACTCTTGTTAATTCTCATATGTCTGTGTGTAGGAGTGGTGGTCCTTTTTTAGTTTTACAAATCCATTCAAAGAACTAAAGAAATTATATCCAACTTGAAAATCATGTACACAATTATTAATGCACTCTAGTTTTAATTTAACACCATAATTTAATAAAGTCAATCTACAAAAATGTACCTTTTGGAAGAATGAAAGTAAAGATTCCCTAGTATTATCCATGTAACCAGCCTGTTCAGCAAGAGGTCTAATCCTTAGTACAATAGAGTCCAGCTCCTCATTTTCAAACAAGTCAGGTACTGTTCCAGAATTGAAAATGCAATACAAATCTTCCAAAAATATCTCCTTAGGTGAAAAATATATTTAATCAGGAATCAGTAAGTTTTTCATATATTCTACTCTAAACACATTAAACTGAGAAGGAAGTAGTGATTAAGGAGAACTGAGACTAATTTTTTAAAATGCTAACATTTTTTTAATTCAAGCCCATCAAAAAAAAATATTTTTGTCAATCAAAATAATTAAAACATCAGACAACATCTACTTAGTGAGACAGTATACCAAACACTGTGTTAGGCTCTGGGCAAGAAGTATGGAGAGATGGGTACAATAATGAATTGGGCAGAGACCTTGTTTTCAACTAGTTCATAGATGTCCTCAATACACTACTTTTGTGTTTGTGTAGTGAACAAGCTAGAAATAACATGGCTGAAGGATTATTTTAATTTAACCAAATTCATCTCCGTAAAAGGTTCCAGTGCTAATGGGAAATGTGAAAGAGGAGAAAGAACCATCAAACTCTACCAGAGGAGTTGTAACAGTATGAACCTCTTTCTTTTGAGAGTAAATCCAAGCTTGCTTTCTTTTTTGTAAAGCAGCAGTAGTATTCCCTATTCCTTAGGACATTCCTTAGACATTTGATATTTCAGTCCATGAAGAAGAGCAGAGAGCTGGTGGTAGACCTCCACTAGAGATCAACATAGGTGATGTGGGGTAGTTGACATCCTGTTTCATCTGAGAAATGATGGATTTACAAGGCTTACCAGAAACTGTGATTCCATTTCACTCTTTTTGATTCACATGGAAAAGATTGGTACAGCCAGAAGAAACCTGGAAAGTGTGGAAAGTAGATCCAATGATCTTGAAGTACTGAATAACATGGGAATCAAGGAGCCATATTCAACTTGGCTTTGACTTGTTCCATAATGGTTTTATGAAAATTATTTATTAAATTAGAACAATGGGTTCTTATTATGGAAGAAACTGTAGCTTCTGAAATCCACAAAGCATATGTCTGACAGAAACCCCAGCTTGATCAGTGGAAAAGGATATTTAAATTTGGGAAGGGAGAATGTCTAGATCAAGCAGAAAAACTGGATACAATGGAGCACAGCAATTATGACATGGTACTTGGATTTACTCTCAAAAATATAACTCTAGGGAGAGGCTCAGTATTAGGAGGAAAAATAGGTTAAGAGTTAGAAACAATACCCCTAACTATACATGTTTATAAATATTTCTAGATCAGAGATAATAAACAATGTCCCTTTGAAATTTTGCTACGAAGAAGTAAATGCAATCTGAGATAACAGTTTTCTTAATTATATTTTGGTTGTACAAGGGTATAAGTTATACAAAAGAATAGATCTGATTAAAAAAAAAAAGGTGAGTGATTAGCATTTTTACTGGTATGGAAAGAAAATATTAAAAACAAACAAACAAAAAAAAAACCAAACTCACTGCCGTTGAGTCAAACCCAACTCATAGTGACCCCTCCTTGGGTTTCTGAGGCCATATCACTACAAAAGTAGATTGCCCAACCATCCTTCTGAAGAGTGGCTGGTGGGTTTGAACCACCAACCTTCTGGTTAGTAGTCAAATGCCTTAGGTGCTATGCTACCAGAGCTCCCAAAGAAAGTATGCCCTGCAAGGAAAGTCCTCAACCTGATGGAGACATTAGAATAGAAGATTAAAGAGAGAAACAGAAGGCTCAATGCTGCTGACCATGACATGGTCAGATAGTGGATACAAATTATAGTTTTCTTTCTTTTTTTTAAATACAGTTTACAAAATCAGTTCAGATACAAGATGTATGACTTTAGCTACCTAGATAAATTACTTCCAGTTCATTAATTAAGAAGAAAATTATAAAGACACAGAAAATGTTTTATTGTAATGTTTATGCAAGACTATAGCATGATTACAATTGTATAAACTCTGGGGACCAGGACTAGATGAGCATAGAGAATTAAAAAAAAAAAAAAAAAAAAAGGATTAACTAGGTTAATAGGACTACAGGGAAATATTTTTGTACTAATTTCAGTTTCAACAATTCAATTTATTTTTGGCTACTCAATTATCAAACTTGAGCAAATAATAAAGACAAAAAGTGCTTACTTGATCTATATTTAAATTAGTAACCATCATAACAGTGGAGTATCCTTCTAATCCTGTTTGAATGAACACTTTTTTAAAGTCTTCTTTGAATTCTAGGTAGATGTAATTGTGAGATATAGGTATTTGGTATAGTTTGTGTTCTGTCAAGTAACAGGCCAAAGTTGTACAAGTTTTTTTTCCACATCCATCTATTCCAATCTTTGGGGGAAAAAAATTAACACATATATATTCCAGGAATCTTTCAATGTATACATTTCTATTTATTTGTGTTAGAAATCTAGACAGTAAAAATATCTCAGACTATTTTTATAACCATGTTGGGAGGTATACTAGGTATAATTTAAGTATTTTATCAATTTCATAAGGCACATTTAATATTTTCATAATTTCTTTTCATAGTCCCTTGAAATATATGGGATAACAGGAAAGATACTACAGTTTAGAAAAATAACACAGAAGAGTCTATAAATCATCATCATATAACTGTTAATACTTGATGGATACTTGATTTTTCATTTATAAGAAATTAGGTCTTTTCCTATTTATTTTGAACAATGAAAGTTAATAAATGCTCTTTGGTAATGATGGCCAACTATTGCCTTTTAAGTCAGTTTATTGAGGTATAATTTATAGGCCATATCTGTTTTAAGTGTACAACACAATGACTTTCAGCAAATTTACAGAGTTGTACAACTTCACCACCATTCATTACATAACCTTTTCACTATCCCCAGAAAAGATCCTTCATGCACATTTGAAGTCAAGCCCTGTCCCCACCTTCAGCCCCAAGGAACCATTGATATGCTTTCTGCCTGTATGAATTTCCTTTTTTAGACATTTCCATTTTAAATTTTTTTAGACATTTCCATTTTAAATGGAATCATAGGATGTGAAGTTCTTTGTGTCTGACTTAGAATATTATTGAGGTGCTTCTATGTTGTAGTGTGTATCATTAGTTTATTCCTTTTCACCACTGAATATTATACTATTGTATGGAAAATTGGATTATTTTCACTTTTTGGCTGTTACAGATAATACTGAAATAAAGATTTATATACTTGAGTAAATATTTATTCTTCTCTTGCTATCATATGAGTGGAATTGCTCAGTTATATAAAAATTTATGTTAAAATCTTTAAGAAATGGCCAAATTGTTTTCCAAAGCAGTTGTATTATTCTACTTTTCCACCAGCAATATATATGTGAGTTACAGTTTATCATATCTTTATCAACATTTGCTATTGACTATTTTTTGCTCTGTTTTATTTTTTCATTATAGCCATTCAAGTGGGTGTGTAGGATTATCTTACTGTGTTCTCAGTTTGCATTTTCTCTAATTACTAATCCTGCTGAGCATCTTTTCATGGGCTTATTAGCCATTCATTTATCTTCTTTGGTGAAACAAAGTGTTAACAAACTTTGCTCATTTTGAAAACTAGACTTTATCTTTCAGAGCAGTTTAGGTTTACAGAAAAATTGGGCCGAAAATAGAGTTCCCATATACTTTGTGATGTCTCATTTTATGTGTCTACTTGGCTAGGCTATGGTGCCCATTGTTTGGTCAAACAATAGTCTAGATGCTGTTATAAAGTTCTAATGTGTGATTAAATTAGTTGGCCTTAAAAAGCAGATTACCTGCCATTAAGTGAGTGGGCCTTATCCAATCAGATGAAGGCCTTAAGAGTAAAAAAAGGAGTTTCCCCTAGGGTATATTCTGCCTCCAGATCATAAACAGATATCTTTCCAGAACTCCTTCACCACTCTTCATTCTTCCCATTGACTGACTTAGGGATTCTGGGATACAAACCTACAGGAATCTTCAGCCTGTTGACTGACCTGTGGATTTGGAAAACAAAATGCAGGAATTTCCAGCCTATCACCTCCCAAAGATTTGTGGATTTGCTGTTGTTGTTAGGTGCCATCAAGTTGGTTCCAACTCACAGTGACTCCATGTACAACAGAACAAAACTCTGTCTGGTCCTGGGCCATCCTCACATTTGTTGCCATGCTTGAGCTCATCGTTGCAGACACTGTGTCAATCTATCTCATTGAGAACCTTCCTCTTTTTTGCTGATCCTTTACTTTACCAAGCATGATTTCCTTCTCCAGGAACCAGTCCATTCTGACAACATGACCAAAGTACGATAGACAAAGTCAGGGCATTTGTGCTTCTAAGGAGCATTCCAGCTGTACTTCTTCCAAGACAGATTTGTTTGTTCTTTTTGCAGTCCATAGTACATTCAATATTCTTCACCAATACCACAATTTGAATGCATCTTTTTTTTTTTTTTTTGCATTCTTCTTTATTTATTGTGCAGTTGTCACATGCATGAATCTACTGAAAATACCATGGCTTGGGTTGGGTGAACCTTAGTCTTCAAACTGTTATCTTTGCTCCATAATACTTTAAAGAGGTCTTTTGCAGCAGATTTTTCCAATGCAATATGTCTTTTGATATCCTGATTGCTGCTTCCATTGGGTGTTCATTGTAGATCCAAGTAACATGAAATCCTTGAAAACTTCAATCTTTCTAGACTCCACAATTTCATAAGCTAATTCCTTAAAATCTATCTATCTATCTATCTATCTATCACCTATCTATCCATCTATCTATCCATCCATCCATCCATCTATATCATCTATCTGATGGATAGATAGATAGATGATATACATGGATAGACATGTATTTATCTAGTAGACATGTATTTATCTAGAAGATATATGCCAAAATTACAGAGTTGCACAATACAGTGGAAGCACAAAAGAATAGGATAGAACTGGCTGAAGAATGCATTTCCCAACTAGAAGACAAATCCCTAGACACTTGCCTGTATGAAGAAAAATCAGAACAAAGATTTAAGAGAAATCTATCTATCCATCCATCCATCCATCTATATCATCTATCTGATGGATAGATAGATAGATGATATACATGGATAGACAGATAGATAGATAGATGGATAGATGATAGATAGATAGACAGATTTTAAGGAATTAGCTCATGCAATTGTGGAGTCTAGAAAGATTGTCAAGGATTTCATGTTACTTGGATCTACAATCAGGAGCTCTGGTAGCATAGTGCCTAAGGCATTTGACTGCTAACCAGAAGGCTGGTGGTTCAAACCC